AATTTAGCAGCTTTTTTAGAAATTCTTTGAACATTTTATTGTATTATTTGTATTTAAATCCTGAAAGCAAAAACACAAATTTACATTTCGATTAGGCGTTCAAGCAACAAGAAAACACAGAAAATGTTACGATATAAGCTACTCTTTTAATTTCTCATAATTATATACAGCATCTCAGCATATAAATCATCTCTGTAGAACATTTTTTGGTGCATCAGATGTTTTCTACTCACAACAACAACCACAACACACAACTCATGATGATGTCACAGCTCGTAGAGTCATCGCTCTGACCAGAACACCAAATCCTACGTCATGTCGTTTTGGTGAAGAGACACGAGTAACGTCCAGAAAGCAGCAGACGGAAAAGAAAAACCAAGAGAAACATCGAAACAAAGCTTAGAAATACCAGAGAGCATGATGGGAAACGGAGGCTGCGTTCCAAACCTCATACTGTTGAACTATATACACTAAAAAAAGAAAAAAAACAGGTTGGATCGATATTTTTGAGTTCAGACAGTTTCAATAAAAATGATGTTCAACCAACAAACTATATTAAGGTTGAGAAGTTTGCTTTCCCTCATTAATCATTTATGAGATCATTGGTAGCTTACATTTGTTTTTGTTTTTTTAGCTTTAAATATCTTGTATGTTGATGTTATTTATAGGGATTGTTGAAGCTTTTCGTACTTATTTATCCATAAAAACCAACACAAGCCTTTAAGTTGGCAAATTTTAAAAAATTAAGTAGATAGAAGAGAAGACTCAAAATTTTGAGCTCAAGTTAGAGAAAAATCCACCTATCGAGACAATTTCATGAGGTTATCTCAAGTTAAAATTCATAATAAACCAACTAACGCAGAACTTAGAGTTTAAGTTACTCACTGTAATGAACTGATGCAACTCTATTGTGTCGATACAACCCGTCAAAGCAATAAAAGCAAATGTTAAAATAATGTTGTTCACTGATTTGGATAAAAGTTTGAAGTCTTTTTTGTCGTGTTGATATAAAATTGTTGCATCAACTTAGTGTTTTGCGTGAATTCAACTCAAAAGTTTGCATTAGTTGATTTAAAACTAAATTGAAGTTGAGGTAACTTCAATTTTCCTCAACTTGAGTTCAGGATTTCAGGNTAATAAAATCACCAGTTGGAGCTTCGTTTGATTCTCGTTGACCCACTAATTTGAGCTCATGTCCTAAAACTGAGTCTAAAATGTTTCTGGATGCACTGAAGCGCTGAGACGCCTCGTTGGTGTCGATGTGAAGCTGATCAGCTCCTTTGTTTGAGTCCATGTAGAACCTCTAACGAGCCTGAAATCTGGTCTCGCTGGTTGACAGGAGTCACCATCAAAGGCCCGTTTGTTCCTGCGTGTTCTGTTTTTAGCGGCTGTTTGCTGTAAACATGTTATCCGCTCAGCAAACATCCACCTTCAGCCAGCGAACACGGGATCAGTATGTAAATGGACTCAGACTTTCTGCGTCCAAGAGAGGAGATAAGCTCTAAAAAATAACCTGGTTTGGAGGCAGAGCTGAGGATTATCCCTCAACCTGCCTCAGGGTTTGGCTGCTGCCAGCAACCGGACCGGCGTCTGCTCACCGGGGCCGGTCGGGCCTGCGGGGCCCCGAGGCAGAGGCTCCCCGGGGGGCGTCCTGCCCGGTGACGGCCCCCTCCTCCGGATTACGGGGCGGCTGGTATCTGCCTGAACACACTCGGAGGGAGGCGAGATGATGTGGGAGCGCCGGCGGTGGCATGGTGGACGCCCTCACACGGCTATCACACTGCCTGCAGAGCATCCCTCCGCCGCACCGTGTGATGGCGAGATACAGAACTACTTTGTTCGGCTGACAAAGAGGCAATTGTGAGCGCAAAGGTCAGCGGCCTGAGGGCACCGAACTGCAGGAACAAAATAAGAAGCAGCTTCTTTAACCAGATCTGCACTGAGGGAACGTTGATAAACCATCTGGAACCGAAAGAAGCCTCTGAAAGGGGAGTTATCTGTAAACATCGCTAATGCTCATAAAGAAATAAGGAAAACCGTCATTACCGTGGCTGCTCTGTGTTTTGTTAGCTGACTGAATTAGAACAGGAATCGTTTTATAGCAGGAAGTCACTCCTGCATGGATTCTTAATATTAGTTGGACATAAACAATGTCTCCTGGAGCATTTTATTATGGTTTAAAAGTCATTTAATGATGGAGAAACAACCAGTTCACTCGTGTTTTCTGCTTTTTTTTATCCTCCTCAAAAAGATAATCAAGGTTAAAATTTGTAAAAAAAAAAACAAAAAAACTCTGATGTTTGTGTTTTTAATAATTTTAATTACAGATATCTCACCAACTGTAGCTGTTAGCTTATTAGCATTAGAAAGATGAATTACCCTTTTATTAACTAAGATACTGACTGACGCCCAGGGCTGCAGATTTGATTTAAATGTTAAAGTCTTAAAGCACTTTGAATTGTCACTAAAAGGTGCCAAACTTGCCTCAGTCTAAACTAAAAAATTTTATTTGGCCTCAATAACTAAAGAACCAACCCAACAGTTTGCATCAACTTCTAATGAAATTATGTTCAACCAACAAACTTCATTATGTTCGTGGAACCAGCTTTTCCTCTATAATTCAAAGTATTTTTAATTACTTAATGATCGGTAGGATGAAGTTTTTAAGTTGGCTAATCATGAAAATTACGTTGATCCAACTAGTTTTTCTATGTTACTTAAAAGGTGCTAGTTTTCTTAAGTTCAGACAAGTTCTTATGAAATTATGTTCAACGAACAAATTAAATCATGTTAGAGGAATTAGAACAGGCTCAAGTTTTTAAGTTGGTTACTGAGAAAAGTTACGTTTTTCCAACTATTTTTCTACGACATTTAAAAGGAATTTTTGAGTGCTATGTACTATTAACCTAATTATAAACACAAGTTTCATAGTTGAAAAACAATTTAAAAATTAAGTTGATCCAACTCATTTTTCTACGTTACTTAAAAGGTGCTAAACTTGTTCAATAAAAAACATTTTGCATACATTTTTTTGAGTTCAGATAACTTTTTATAAAATTATGTTCAGCCAACTAGCTAAATTGAGTTAAAGGAATTAGAATAAACAAAAGTTTTTAAGTTGGTTACAGATAAAAGTTATGTTCTTCCAACTATTTCTTCTGCATTTTTTAAAAGGAGTTTTAGTATGTTACGTACTTTATGAACATAATTACAAACACATATTTTTAGGTTGATCCCGTTAGATTTCCTTCAGTACTTTCTGGCTAATTTAGCAGCTTTTTTAGAAATTCTTTGAACATTTTATTGTATTATTTGTATTTAAATCCTGAAAGCAAAAACACAAATTTACATTTCGATTAGGCGTTCAAGCAACAAGAAAACACAGAAAATGTTACGATATAAGCTACTCTTTTAATTTCTCATAATTATATACAGCATCTCAGCATATAAATCATCTCTGTAGAACATTTTTTGGTGCATCAGATGTTTTCTACTCACAACAACAACCACAACACACAACTCATGATGATGTCACAGCTCGTAGAGTCATCGCTCTGACCAGAACACCAAATCCTACGTCATGTCGTTTTGGTGAAGAGACACGAGTAACGTCCAGAAAGCAGCAGACGGAAAAGAAAAACCAAGAGAAACATCGAAACAAAGCTTAGAAATACCAGAGAGCATGATGGGAAACGGAGGCTGCGTTCCAAACCTCATACTGTTGAACTATATACACTAAAAAA